AAAACATATACAAAAAGAAAGAAAGAAAAAAAAAACAGAGATGCTGACTGGAAATTATTGTTCTGGCTGTGACAAATTAGGACACAAAGATAGCATTGTGGGCTGTAGATGACAGTGAGCGTCCAATAATTTTGTTTGGTTTTGTGTACATTTAGATTGTCATTATATGACATGATAATGATTGTCATTACATGAAATTATATCATATATTATTACTGACAATGATTTTATGTGCCCTGCCAGATAAAAAAGAGGGCATGAAATTGATGAGGGTTTGTGTCTGATTCATATAAGGAAGGGCCATATAGCAATAGTGAAGAAAGGCATCCAAACTGCTAGAATAAATTACACAACTTGCAACTCCATCCATTACCAGAAACTAAAGAGTCCCTGAGATATCACCTACCTGCCTCTGAGAACACAAGCAGTAGTAAGCAACAGCTGTGGTCTGAACTGGTTATGCTAATGGATGGATGCGTCTTACAGCTCTAAAAAAGATGACTGATCGACAACAAGTAATCTGAAAAAACATGTAGATTAATTATTTTGACATGCTAACACTTGTCTTGAAATCCTACCTCAGATATTAAACAAGTATGTTATATTTAGGAAATGCTACTTCTCTGAAAGAGTGGTCAGGCGCTGGAATGGGCTGCCCAGGGAGGTGATGGTGTCACGGACCCTGGAGGTGTTCAAGGAACGTTTGGACATTGTGTTGAGGGACATGGTTTAGTGAGAGCTATTGGTGATCAGTGGATGGTTGAACTGGATGATCCTGTGGGTCTTTTCCAACCTTGGTCGATTCTATGATTCTATGACTCTGTGGTAGTTGTTCCATGGTTATATTTTGTCCTTGCCACTGCTGGTCTTCACAGAGTAGGGACTGTGACATCCCAGAAGCAGAGAATGAAGGAAGATATAGAGCTACTTTGTATTGCTATTACCATGATATGGAAAACTTCAGGATCTGCAAATCATTAAACAGCAACAAAGAAACAAAGCAAAACACTTAGTGAAATAACATAATTCCTTCTAATAACCCAAAGAAATTTCACCAGGTCTCTCTTAAAAGAACAACAACCAAGTAACTTCACTGTAAAGAACTTCTTTACAGTGAGGTGACGGAGCACTGGAACAGGCTGCCCAGGGAGGTGGTGGAGTCTCCTTCTCTGGAGATGTCCAAGACCTGCCTGGATGCCTACCTGTGCGACCTGCTGTAGGGAACCTGCTTTGGCAGGGGGGTTGGACTCCATGATCTCTGGAGGTCCCTTCCAACCCCTGTAATTCTGTGATTCTGTGATTCTGTGAAGTAAAAACAACAGCAAGCTCTCTGTCTATATGTACTATATATAGTATGTAGTATATAGCATTATGATTGTTGTTGATAGAGTGAAAATACCTTGGTATAAGATTTTTGTAAAATTCAAACTTGTTATCGCTGTTTCAGATTTGCATTATTGTAAATGAGAGCAGAACTTAGTCCTGTAACATTTTCCATGGAGCCCTAGGAGTTCCAGGTCTCTAAAAGTTCTTTTGTGTTTCTTTTCTTTCTGTCTTGCAGACCTCCTTTAACGCAATAAAAGGTTCACACAGGTGTGATATTTTTCTCCTTTTCCTAATGGTACATTATCAAAATTATTTTATTTATCTCTCTAGCTCATCAAATTTGAAACTCATTTCAACTACCTCTACTTTCACCCTTTTGTTATGTTTTCCTTTAATTTTACAACAATGTTTTTCTTTAGGCAGAATTATATATTCCATCTGAATTGGGTATCCAAATCATATCCCCTTTGAAAGAAGATGTCTTGGAAATTTCAGATCTAAATCTGAATTTGGTGTATCAAGGATTTATACAAGTCGATACCAAAATCCGGGTATTGTGTGTGTGTTTGTGCCTGGAATTGTTAAGTAATAAATGACCTCTGGTTCTTTTATCATTCCGCCTTCTCTTGCAGAAAATATCAGCCATCAATCTTGTTTCTAAAAAAGGAGTACTTTTATTAGGAGCTATCTGACCTACTCTTCACCCTATCAAGGCACTCTGCTTGGGGAAGAGTTTAGGGACAATGTAGAAAAGGTTACCTGTTCTGATAACTCAAGGACTCAAGATGTATTATGTAATTGAGACCAAACTCTGAATAAACCTTTAAACATTTATCTGTTTACTCAAATTGAATCTGAATGGTGAGTCTTCTGAAGTTCACTTGTCCCTTTTTATTTGAAAAATGGATTATGATAAATTACTGACTCATTACTGAGGAACAGGAAGAGTTCGCTGAACAGCACACCAGCAAAACTCCACTGGAAATACCATATGAATTACTGATCTCTGAAATTGTCACTTTGATATCAGTTGACAATGTCATTTTAATCAGCACATCTGTTTTTGCACTAGCTTTCTTTGCTGCCTGTTGTAAAGCTTTCTAACACTTTTATATTTCTGGTAAGATTTATTGTTTTCTATCTTCAGCAATAGGCAGAATTTGTACCGCCCCAGTTGAATTTTCACTTGGACTGCCATGTAGAGATCCTTCACTGTCTGGGTAGAGCCACTATAAAAAAGAAAGGTTTGATTTTATGAAGCTGTTAAGGGAACAGTTGAAGTGCTTTTCAAGGGAAGGCAAGGTGCAAACTCTATGGAGTGCTCAAAGGTCCTGTGGCAGGAAGTACTGCCATTCAGATTTGAGAAGCAAATTCAGTATGTGTAATCAACTGTGATTTCTCCCTGATTATCTCAGAACTAATTAAGAAGTGGGTTTTTTTGCAGCTAATTAGAGGTATCTGCAAAGAAGTCATTTGCATAACTTCAAGTCAAATTATGTCATGAGGACAACTGAGCTAATGTAAACTGGCATTTACTGTAAAATTAGCATGTATTGCATTCAAACCAGGAAACAAAGAAGCAATGGAAAACTGCCTGTTAGAAACTAGGAATAGCAGCATTAAGTGATGGAGTGCAATAGCTGTGCTACATGAAGCATATCAGTGCATGAAGCACAAGGAATGTAAATATGCAAAGGCCAAAATATTTGCAGAAAGGGACTCATTTGACAAAATTGTAAATACCATGGATTCTGCTGGCTGCCTAACTGTCATTTTGTCACTGTATTTTGTCACGGTTCGTGGTTTAATATTCCAGGGGGAAAAATCCTTGCTTTCTCTTTTATGGGAGACTGTTTTTACTTAAAGTAAATCCACTCTAAAATTGCCTTCCTATTCAGTATTACAACAAGTCTAGAAAAGAAAACCATACACGTTTGCTACTCTTCTTTAAAAATGTGAAATACAGTGCATCATTCACCTATTTCTTCAAGTGCTTGATAGTGAAATCCTTTTCTATCTCTGGGGATGTGTGAGGGGGTTCCAGCTGCCATAGGTCGGGCTGCCAGACGTTTTTTTGCCTGTCTCAATCAGTAAATCTGTCTCAATCAGTAAATCGGGTCTGGAAGCTGTGATTGGAGAATAAACTCTGCTTCGTGAAACAGTGGAACCTGTGATTTTTCACATGGGACAAAAGGTTTGAACACATCTGTCAACCTGATTCTTCACTGAATAGAAGAAGACCTCCTTGTGAGCTCAGATGTTCAGCCACACTCTGCCTAGATAAGGCTTAAAGTTAGAACTGAATTTCTTAACTGAACTTTACAGAGGATGGATGTACTGACATTTAACAGAACTAAACATATAAAGCAAATAGCCTCTTACTGGAACATTAAATACTAGAACCCATTATTAACACTATGGAACAACAGCAGGATCAATCAGTGAGTAACTAATATGTGAATTTAAGATAGTGTCCCTCTGCAGTGTTCATGTTTTTTCATAGGTACAGATGGGGGTAATAGTTTTCTTTACTAGGATCACTCAGCTCATGAAGATTTAGTGCTCAACACTACATAGACTGCATAATTTACATTGCTTTCTTAAATACACATCTCGTTTATTAGGAATGTATTAATAAAATTTTGTTCAAAATTTTTTTGAAAAAATTGTTTGAAAGATCTCAGGATTTGACAGGCATGGAAACCAGTGAATTCAGGAAAGAAAATAACTCTTAGTAGTCAAACTCTACTACATGCTTAATTTCTAGCTATATCCAGATCCAGAAATAAAATTTCTGCTTTACTCATTTACTCATTTACACCAAAAGCACATTCTTTCAATGTGAGTTTGCAAATTTTATTTTGCTTCTTTTTCATTCAGCAGATCTCTTGTAAGCACATAAGCACATGTAGCTAACATTGCTAGGTCTAAATTCTTTGACATAAAATTTGCTTCCTCTCAGCATTTTTAAGAAAATATGAATGTCTAAAATTGAAAAGGTTATTTCTATCTTTCTGTTTGGTCAATGTGTTCTTTGTTTCAGTTCAGAAAATCTGAATTTGTGCAAACTCCTTCCAATGCTGTTTCTACTTACATCTACTAACCTACTAACAAATTGTTAGTATAAGTTTCTGTTTTAAAATAATTTTTTAAATTACATACTTTTCAAGTGGAAATTTTAAGAATGAAGACACCCTAATTTCACTGTTACACTGCTTAGATCACCTATGATCTTGTTCAAGTCAACTGAGACATTTTAATCAAAAATCAATGTAACAACTAGACACTGATGTAAGCTAATCAAATCCTGAAAATCACAGAAAAGGAGCTCCACAATTTAAGGACAGTAGTCATTAAATTACTGAAAACTTGACAGTTTTCAGTTTTCTTGTTTTTTTATGCTTTTCTTTATAAAGTCTACTGCTAGCCACAGCAAGCAAATGGCCACTGATGTGCCTCTAATCTGATCTAACTGTGATTATCTTCTTTTAACACAGACTGCAACAAAGGCACAAGAAGGCAGCCAACACCTCAAAGCAGAATCCCAATGTAACCTAGAAAGATTTTTTCCTGTCTTCACATTTCTGTTTATTTTCTGTTTATTCATGTGAAAAATAAACAAATTAAATTAAATGTCTATTTTTTTTTTTTTTTCCTGTCCTAATTCTGCTCAGGGAAATTACCTGTCCTACACTGTATATATTATGTGTAGATTATTCCATGATCCTGAGGTACCTCCAGGCCGGTGTTACATGTGGGCATGCAGGAAACTTCAGATCTTATTAAGGTACAGCTTCTGGTTTGCCATTTACATATTTTTACCTTCCTTCTGTTTTCACTCTTTCTGTCCTGTTTCAGCTGCAGTCAAGCACTTTGACTCCATCTGTGAGGGTGGTAATTCCAGCTGCCTCTGCAGCTGTTGTCTTTGCTGTTCCTTGGCCAATCATCAGGGAATGACTCTTCCTTCCCAAAAGGTGCAATACATTTCAGCCAGCTTCCACTTGAAAAGCAAAAGAAGCCATTCAAATACATAATGGTAGTTTCTGACAGTATTTCAAGCAGAAAGCTAACCACATATTTGCTTTCAAGGTCAGTCAATATATTTATTTGCTATTATTAAGTTTCAAGTCAATGATTTTGTCAATTTGAGATATTTTCAGGATGTTCATGAAAGCCTGATCTATACGACAGGTCCTGGCAGAGCTCTGTAGCTTCCAGATCCAGGTACTTACCATGATTGCATCCCAAATCCATGCCACACATACCCTCTTCCTCTTTTCCTTATTTTTTATGCAGCAAAAGTCCATGAATGCAGCTGAGTACAATTAGTCTGCATTCTAGATGCAACAAAAAATGTAGCAAAATATAGACAAATCGAAACAAGAGAGAACATCATTATATATTCAGTAGAAAATGGATAAGATTTATTATCTTGATGAGAGCAAACAGACAGTATGCGACCATATCTAGCCAAAGAGGGCAGTGCAATTCTAAATTATCCTTCCTCCACTGGTTCTACCACTTGCAACAGTTTATAATAACGCAGCACAAGCTAAGAGACAACAACTGCATTCTGAATGTCTCATGGAAGAAAAATATTTTTTTTCAAACCTTGCATAAGAACAGAATACTCATTATTTAAAAGACACAGGTATCTTGAGTTACTACCTCCTGATACATCTATGCAGACAAAAGTGAGCTGTTGCCTTTCTATGCTGGGATGACGGCTTAATTTGTGAGTTTTGCATAAGATTGTAACCAAGGTTCCACAGGTGATAAAGATGTTTTGTCACTATTATTTCTTTTCTAAACTTACTAAAACATTTTAATGTTCCAGTAGCACTACTACTCTATTGCTGAAATAAACAGGGAACATTAGCTTAATGTTATTTTCATCATGAACTTAATGGCTCTACTGATTTTAGAGGCATCTTATACCAGCTTTTTCTATGAGAGAAATAAAACAACATCATTAAAGTAGAGCATAAGTAAGGCACAGTTAATGCCAACAGTTATGAAGCTCATATTGATATTTCTCTTTCCCATTTCCTGCTAATTTGCCAGAACAGCATTTGGCCAGCCCATAAATAGGTCTATGATAAACCAGACATTAAATTGGAACTAATTCCCTAATTAGTGCAATTTTGTAGTCATATGTTTTCAAGACATTCTTGGTTAACAAAAATAAAACACAAAAAAACTACCAAAAACACACTCTCAAAACATCCATCAGCAGCTTGGAAAAGAATGCATTCACTAACCTAATTATTTATAGAACAATACATCAGAAAATATGAATCTAGAAAGCACTGCGATAGCAGAGCAAACCTATTGCCACCGTGTTCAGTTTGCTACTTGTTAAAATGAGCGTGCTGGTCAAGCTGCCAAATGGACAGCTGTGTCATGTAACAGCCACAGGAAAACCACTGGGAGTGTGGCTGTGCAGGCAGGCAGCTCACTGGATTTAATGTCTGCGGTATTGCAGGAAGAAAACAATGAGGCAGAGCTCTGCAGCTGGCATTGGCTGAACCCACAGGCAGTGCGTTTCAAACTGTAGGATTTGGCATAGCTGAAGAAGTTGAAAAAATCTATAAAGGAATAAACCAAACGTGTGATGCTCTAAAGATAAGGAATATTCCTTCCTGATCCCTGAGTCAGAAGCTGTGAAATAGATTTTATTGCACTTACAAATTCTAGCTTTCTTGAGATTTCAGCAGTTACCATAACATCCTCCACACTTCTTTTAAAGCCCAGTAAAGGGCTCTAACCTCAGCTCTCAGCTGAGACTTGTACCTTTTGCTAAGAGAAAAGGTGGAAATTCTATTCAGTTTGATCTTAATCATATTGCTCTGAATTCAAGTATCTCCTTTGTGTATAATTAAGATAAAAAAATGGTGCTTCATTGTCATGTTTGTGTTCCTCAATTTAGGGCTGCACTCCTGAAAGCAGTAGTATGCAAAAAACTTTTGTGCTTATTCAGAGTACCATTATGTGAGGGGGCTTCCCAAGAGGGAATGGCTGCTGGGTCAGGGCAAGCATAAAATCCTGAAGTAGCTGTTTTCCACACAGCCATGGAGAACATTTATGCTTAGGTTTAAAACACTTTTGCAGTGCAGTAGATTGAAACTCTTCCTGTAGCATTTTAAATTATTGCAGGTCACTCTCATTTATTCGGTATGTACTCAGAGTCTGCTGACAAGCCTACTGGTTTCTAGCAGGAATCTGAAGAAGACCTACAATTCAATTGTGCAAACCATTAAACTCATGCAACATTTAAAACATAGATTTTTATGGAAGCGTAGAAAATCTTTAAATTTATTCTGAGCACTGTTATTCCTGATGTCCACTTTCATGTGGAATTGTGACCTCTTTCAAAACATTCATTTTCATAGAATCTAGAATCATTTGAGTTGGAAGGGATTCTCAAATGTCATCTAGACCAAATTCCTGACAATGAACAAAGACACCTGCAGCTTGATCAGGTTTCTTAGAGCCCTGTACAGCCTGACTTTGAGTGTATTCCGGGAACCATGCATCTGTCACCACTCTGAGCAACCTGTGCCAGTGCCTCACCACCCTTATTATAAAAAATTTCTTCCTTAAATGCAGTCTAAATCTTCCCTCTTTTAGTTTGAGTCCATTTCCCCTTATCCTATCACAACAGACTCTGCTAGTGTCTTTCCCCTTCTTTCTTATAGCCCCCCCTTTAGATAGCAAAAGGCTCCTACCAGATTTCCCCAATTTTCAGGCCTTCCAGTTGTAGGACACCTAAGCAATACCTCTTATCATTTTCTTGTTCATGCAGGGCATTTAAAAATAGAGAAAAAGTACATAAGGAGCATCATTTATTTCTTTTTTTGTTATTTCTTTTTTCTTTCATTGTTATTTGTCATTCTCATCTGAACATCTTGCCTCTCTTATCCATCCTGTAACAGATTCCTTGATTTGACTTCCTGGCTCTGGTTTGGGCAACAGTGAAAAAAGTGGCTTTGAGAACACACAGTTGAAGATCAGGAGCTTGGGTGTATCTAGCTGTGTTTTGGTTTCAGAGCAGTCTAGCAGTCAGTCCACAATGATGGGATATATTTTTAGTAATACTGATACCACTAAGATAATCTAGTAGCATCTTTTAAGAATATGCTTTCAGCCATTCTGTGAGATGGTTAGGAAAAAAAAGTAGGTAGCTGGAAAAAAAAGAAGTATGTGGTTTGTTCATCCTGCTGTCAATGCTACTGCAGCTTTGAGACAAGCTGCTATCAAGACTGACCCAGAAAGCATGTGGATAAACATAGGGATTGCTTACTCAGCAGTGACCCCTCTAAAACTAATTGCTAATTTTGGAAAAAGGATGGGAACTAACTTTGAGAAGGTGTGTGAGTGGGAAGTAACTTTGTTGTGGCAGTCAAAACTGCCACAAAACAAAAACTATTTGTATAAAATGTGCATGAAATAGGAATTTCTGCATTATATAGTGGCACCAAAGTATAAATTTATACACTGCTTTTAGATGAACATCGTGTAGAAACTGATACTGTGAAGCACTTCATACTGTATTTCAACTTTTTCAAAGCTTAGCACCCAAAGTCTTTCACAGCATGTGGGAAGCTTGAGCTCTTCTCCAAATTCAACCCATATAAAATTAGACAGAATGATTACCTTTTATGAAATATTTGGTTAAGTGACTTGATGGTGGTGAACAGTAGGGCAAGACAGAGCAGAGACCTCCTCAGAGGCTTCATCTCATCCAAGCCGAAGGAGGTGAGCAGAACCAGGCAAAGGATCTGGGAGTAATTAAGGGACTTGTGGCTTCTACTCATTCGAGGGAATGGAGGAAAGTAACCTTCTTTTTCTCAATTCTGCTACCTCCAATGTGTCAGAGATGTATTTGGAGAGAAAGTCCTACTTACCACTTCACAGATACAGACTGGAGAATCTCAGTCAAGGAAAATTAGGAAAATTAACCTTGAAGTCTTTACAAAGTAGATAATACCTGACAACCTGGCTGGAAAGCTCTCATAAAGGCAATACAGACATAAGCCTTTTCTGCCCTTTTTGTGATCCAGCTACAGCACAGTGATGGCATCCAGTCATCTGAAAGTGCATAATGCTCATTACCATATGCTCAGTAATAACTGAAGTTGTGCTAGCCAAGACATTCCAAAGGAAAAAAAGTAAAGCATGGGATGAATAACAGCAAGGAAAATTTTACTCCAAGTAAGTGAATAGGAAAAGTGTGAAATATTTAAATTACAACTACCAATTTAAAGTTAAAGGGTAGTAGCAAACACCTTTCCAATCAATGTTTTGAAAATAGTGTTTTTTAGTACTACTCAGAGGGTGGTGAAGCATTGGAGCAGGTTGCCCAGAGAGGTTGTGGATGCCCCATTCCTGGAGGCATTCAAGACCAGACTGGATGTGGCACTGAGCAGCCTGGTATATTGGTTGGTGGTCCTACATGTCACAGGGGAGTTGCTATGCTGCGAGGACCCTTTTGCCTTGGAAAAGGGATTGCCTCTGCCAAATCCATCCGTGCAGTTAGCATGTGGTTCTTGCATTTATTTTCTTGTACAATCTCCGAATAATAGAGGTTGGAAGGGACCTCTGGAGATCATTGAGGCCAACCTCCCTGCTAAAAGCAGTTTGTATAGGAGGTTGAGAAGGAAAGTGTCCTGGATCACCCCCCTCAAGCTGCGGGTCACACTCTTTTCAATGTGCCACAGGATACCATTGGCTTTCCTGGCTGCAAGGGCACACTGCTGGCTCACGGCCAGTCTTCTGTCCACCCAG